ATGCATGGTGAGGAGGAAGCTAGAATTCCTGCAGGACAAATACAAGACCTATTAAAGGGCAGGTGAACCTCTTTGAGAGGTCAATGACCATCTAGCTATCTCTCCGCAAGGCCATAGAAGTATTTTGGATGGTATCCAGGTGTGCGGTTAGCCCACTGGGAGTGGAACCTCTCAAGCCTCCTGTCAGTCTTCTAGAAGAAGGAAACTCTAATAGAAAACCTGGCTCATGGCCACACTAGATATCTTGCAACTATTTGTCTCTGAGCAATGTAGTTTTGAGGTGAAGGTCAATGCAGTGCTATGCAAGCTGCATTCGACCTTAAAACCCGCACAGGTATTACTGACAACTTGCCAGCTTATAGTCTTTCCAATCCAAGTCCGCTGGTGATGGCAATGCAGCGACACATACAGGTCTGACAATCAGTAAGTGTGTAGCTGCTGACCTGCACATTTGGTGGCCTCTGTAAAGTCACTAGCTCACCTTCATTGAGACCAGGGTAGCTTTTGATTCTTCCAGGAGTGTCTGAGCAGCCCTTTTAAGGAGAGCACCTCTCACCAGAAGATTGCTAGAAGGGTCTAGACAAGGTGACCCAAAAATTTCCTGTCTCATTCATCTGGCCAGTATAGTGCACCTGGTGGATGTCTATTTGGCGCTCGAACAAAAATTAAAAAACTAATGATGAAACTGAAACTATCTTGTTGGAATATGTGGACTCTCACAGATAATCCTGTGAGATCTGCTCCTCAATGCAGAACAGCTTTGGTGTCTAGGGAGCTAGAAAGATATTCTATAGATGTAGCTGCTCTCTCAGAAACTAGTTTAGCTGGTGATGGTCAACATTTAGCATCTGTTCTTAAGATTAAACCAGAAAATAGTTGACAATATCCTGCCTGAGTCACAGTGTGGTTTCCACCAACACAGAGGGACCGCAGATATGATTTTTCACAGCATGACAAATCCAGGAAAAAAGCTGTGAACAACAATTAGACCATTACAAAATATTTGTAGATCTGAGGAAGGCTTTTGACATGGATAATCATGCTGCTCTTTGGAAAATCCTCTCAAAATTGGTCTGTCCCTACCACTTTCTCGAGATTCTGAGGTCCTTCCATGATGGCATGGAAGCCTGCGTCCGTTTTGGTAGTATGCTTATAGGGCCCATCAAAGTTGAAAATGGAGTCAAGCAGGGAGATCTTCTGGCTCCTACACTGTTTTCTATCTACTTTTCAATTGTACTGCTTGATGCGTTCGGAGACTGCCATGATGGTATTATGATAAGATACAGGTCAACTGGCAAGCTATTCAACATACGTAGGTTTGCAGCAAAGACAAAAGTCTTTTTTAGTTTAGTGTGCAACATGAGATATGGGTAGTCTATCACAGATATCTGAAGATACTGGAACGTTTTCATCAACGATGCCTTCTGTCTGTGCTTAAAATCCACTGGATGTCTCACATCCCTGATACTGTTGTTCTACAAAGGGCCAATTAACTTTTTGTGGAAGCAATTATACACAAATACAGATTCCAATGGACAGACCATGTTATTCGTATGGCAGATGACAGAATGCCAAAACAATTGCTGTATGGAGAATTGGAAATGAGGAAAAGACCACAGCACAAGTCAAAACTTTGTTACAAAGATTGCCTTAAAGAGTCACTATACAAGTGCAATATTGGTCTGGATAATTGGGAGACTCTAGCTGAAAACCGAGTTTCTTAGATTGCTGGTATTGCTGATGGTGTCAAGATCTTCCATGAGACATCACAGAATTATGCACAACTGAAGAGAGGAGTTGGGAAGGGATCCCTGAATTGTATGAGGTGCCAACCTGGCCATGTGCCGAATGAAATCAGGTATGTCTGTCCAAGGCAGGTCTGCTCATTCACCAGAAATCACCCCAATACCAACCGTCTATTGCATATGACAATTTCATAATAGCATGCTTTGAATGCTCAAACTGCACTAGAGTGTGCAAGTCCAGGTTGGGCTTGACAAGGCATATAAAAAGGCACATTAGAAGTGATGATGTTCAAAGTCAACTTCCACCACCCAGAGATGATTTGACATACCACATATGTAACAAGAAATGCAGATTGATAGTTGGCTTTATGAGCCACTGTCGTTCACACAACAAATGAATGCAGCGTTGTGGGGGGAGTTTAACTGATGGACTGGACATGTCAGTGATGGTCATACTCGCTTTGTGAGTCGACAGACACTATATATATATATATATATATATATATATATAGTAATGATACAATATGGTAATCCGTATGGAATTTTCAAGAGGATATAGATTCAGGGAGAGCTCTGTCAAAAGACAGAGCAAAATTATTATTAAAGAATATTAAACACTTAAAATGCAATAGGTAATAATTTTTGTTTCATGAGTGCTCTAAAAACCACCAGCTCTCAATCTTCAAGAGTTACAAACAAATTAGGATTTGTTTGTAGGTCTTGCTTTTTTAGAGCTCTCATGAAATAAAAATTATTACTTGAAAATACATTAATTTTACTTTATCAGCCATCAACATAACTTCTCATTTCCTTCTTCCAATTCATGCCCTTCTGAAGCCAGTGTTGAATTTGACAAACCAAGTTTTAATTTTCAGTTTAGTTAAATTTTAACCCTCAAGTATCATTTTTATATTTCTACTCATGAACCGTCAATTTCAGGGTCATTACCCTGTTATATATATACATTTTCAAGACACTGAAATGTCAGTCTCTAGCATTTGTGTTTGTTTGGAAATGGCTTAGTGCCATTTCCAAACAAACATAAACATATAGAAGTATACCATACAACCTGCTTTGTAACATATTTTTATGATATTGTGTGTTGGAGGTGTTGTTTAGCTTAGTCTGTACTGCAGAGTACACCATTGGAACCAAAATGGTGGCACTCATGACAAATCACCACCAGTGTCTTTAACTATAAAGACACTGATGGTCATTCATTTCCAGTAAATGGCAATTTCCTATTTTTTCTGAAATGAGCCAGTACAGCCAGTCAAAAATGCTATAACAATGTAGCAGTGAAAATATTAAAAAAAACAATTATAGATAATATTTTATATATAAATTGATTGGTTGCTTCAATTTTTGTTCATAAGCAATCTACAAAAAATTAAAAGGAACATCAATCATGTTCTGTCTCCTTGAAACCTGTCTTCTTTATTGCCCTTTTTCCTCAGTAACATTTTCTCAGTTTCCTTCAATCTATTGTCTTTCATCCACTGTAAACCCTTGCATCTTAGTGGCTTTATTACCCTGCTTGGGAGTGAAATGATTAAAAAAAAGAAAAAATATTTGAACTATTGTTTCCATCTTGCTTATTATACATATTACTAGAAATACAATGTTTCAGCCAAATACCCTTTGGCCATCTTCAGGTGTCCATTGTTTAGCTGATATAAGACATCTGTAGATAGCTTTGTTATTTTGTCCTGGTGATGCCAGTTCTTGTTTGTTATTCTTGGAACAATATACACTGATTTATAATAAATTCATTTTTTATTACTTTAAAAATAAGTTTGTCTTAAATAAAAGTTTAATCATCTAGGTTGTTTTTTGTACACATTCTCTTGAGAGAAGCGTATTTTTAAGAAAGTTCAATAGATTGTAAAAAAAATTGTTACACATTTAAATCTTTTAAGCTCAGCAATTAAAACCACCAAAATTATTAAGGATTCATTTTGAATTTGCATAATTTTTGCCTAATGAGAAATGTGGTCTGAAGCCCTTGTGAAAACTTAGAGGGGGCTTTCTGTGATCCTCATTTTTGAATAAAAAGAACTTCAGTTAACAGATAACTCTAGAAGGCATTTTGACATCACAGTGAAAACATTAACAAGCATTCAGAAGAGAAGGAAGATAGTTACAAGCTAGCTACACAGCTGAAGGAATTTTGAAGTTTGCAAATGAAAATTCTCCCGCAGTTTGACAACAAATAACAAAAAATTTTTACCCAAAAGCCTCAGTGAAGCATGAGCAATGTGAATATAAAAAAAGCACATTTCAAAAATTGCTATATGTCCCAGATATTTGGGATAAGTACTTTTTTGTCCGTTTTTTTTTTTTTTGAAAAAGGTGGTTGCACCTTTGTTTTTCTGCCTTCCCGAATGTGCTTTCTCTTTTTTTTTTTTTTTTTTTTTGATAGTAATCCTTTTCTGCAACATATCAGAAATTGTTATCTTGCCTTAATAGGCACACAAAAGTATTTCTACCTTTTTTTGTTTATAAAGTGTATTAAATGTTTTTCTTTAAGATATTGCACAATGCTTACGTCTTTATATTTATGTCTATTTCAGTTCTAGTGATAAGAGAAAGACAAGTTCTCTTTTCCCTTTCTATCATTACTAAGTTTTTGTGTTTGACACAAGAATTTAGGATTTAGTATGGAGTTAAACAACAGATATCTCATATCAACTAAACAATGGATACCTGAAGATGACCAGAGTGTATTTGGCTGAAACATATGTATAATAACATCTATAACAAACAAAATGAGAACAATTGTTCATATTAATTAAACATAATTCTAATTAACATAATCCTTTTCCTTGTTTGTTCTTCAAGCCCTGATTATATATCAGTATATTTATCCAGGATACTTTCATCTTTACTGCTTAAACCATTTTTTTTTATTGGTTTTTTATAAATTCTACTTCTTCCTTAACCTGGAACATTATTATTATTAAAATGCTAACATCACAAGTCATAACCAGTGTGTTTATTTCTCTATAAGTGCTCAGTGAATATGACCTTACACCAATGCTAATTTCATTCAACAAATACCTAATAGAGTAATCTTTTTACTGAAAAGAACAACAGGATTACAAAAAGTTGGAGTAGAAACCTTTCCCAATTTAAGGAAAAAAAAATTTCCAAGTGTATACAAGGATTTTATTATCATTATAGATGAACAGAATTATTCAATATAGGAAACTAGCAAGGAATGTTGAGATGTAACTGATTGAAAAGTGACTTTTTTCACAGAAGGATCTTGTACTTTTCAGTTCTGGGCACCCGGTTGATAACAAGTCGTCCATCGTAGCTGAGAGATGCAAAGATCCAAGGGTCAGCAGTTGACCAGTCCACCTGATATACACTGTCCTCATGCTCTTCATATGTAGCAATAACACCGTCAGTTGGTTTCTCATGAACTCTGTTAAAGAAAAAAAAAAATTGATAATATTCAAAACTAGCTGAACCCAAGGAAATTCCACAGATGTTGACTATTAAGATAACATCATTAATCTTGCCTATATATTTCTACAATTTCTGATAGAATCTTCTTTCTTCTTCTTCCTCTTCTATATGTTGTGTCCCTTAAGGACATTGTCAATCATGGCTCTCCACAATTTCCTTTCCTTTGTAGTTCTTAGTAAAGAATAATGACATAATAGTGCTATTATATGTATAGTAGATTTAAATTTACACATAAATGATTAATTTGTTTTATGGCTTATCAACTCTTTGTGGGTTATTTAAAGGTGAAACATATTTTTAAATTATATAAGAATAATTCTTTTTTTTTGCAAATAAATATTGTGATAAGATAAAGAACAAATAGGAAACGTTTATCAATCTAACATATTTCACAAACTTCATCAGAAAATGAGATATGAAGAAAAAGAAAGAAAGAAATTCTGGTATTTTTTACTTTTGTGTTTTTTTGATTTTCATTGGGTAATCAGGTTTCATTTGCATTTGACATGTTGAACCAATGTTAGTATAATTTATGGTGTTCCGAATCTAAGGAGAGATGACACGTGCATTTGAAGTTCCAAGAAATTAATGGATTCCAAGCCTAACTGAAAACCATAAATATTGCATTATGTATGTAAGTGTATAATAAGTCTAGTTTGTCTGCATGTGATTCAGATGATGACATATATTTGTAAGTGTGTGTGTGTATGTGTAGTAGACATTATGTTTGGTGGTTTTTGTATGTTGATTTGAGAATATTCTTACATACCATTTGTTTTAGATAAACATAAATTTAGATTCTTTAAGAATAGATTCAATAAAAATTGGTGAAGTAATATAATGTTTTTGATATGTATTTATAGTTGTTAAAATATTTATTAGTAATCCCTCATAGTACTTTTGACATAAAGAATTATGTTCTTTTCTTAATTAGGGTGGCCTTTGTAAAATCAAAGTTATGACCAGTTTTGTTCCTGTGTATTATGAGAAAGTTTAAATGGTTGTCTTAACATAAATCCCTTTTATGTTCCTAGATACAGACTTTTAGATTTCACAATGTCTCACTGATATAAGAGCTTTTACATTGTAAGAAATTTATAAATACTGAAATCTGAATTGGTGTTGGATTTATTTTTCTTCCTAATTATATCTCTGATTGTCTTGGACATGGTGGTAAAGATTCTAGAGGATAGGATTATGGATTTTGTGCTGCTGATGTTAAAAGTGCTATCGGTAAAGTCTAGTTTTTTGGATTTGTGAACTTTGTATGCTCGTTTTCTTGCACTGTATACATGCACTGTTATACATGCACAGACAAGAAGAGTAATAGTACAAATTATTATTTAATACCTTTAGACCCTCCCCCACATGGAGTATAGTATGACAGCCTCACCATATTAGGTGTTGCAGCTGTGGTTTATTATGGGGTAGAGTTGCCAGCCCCATGCCCAACCAGTTTTGAATGCACAGTTTTTCTTCTCCTAAACTGATTGCCAACCAAGTCTAGACAGCTTAGTCTGTTCTGTTATTTAACCCATAGCTGTGGGGAGAAATGATGGATTTAAACCTTTCCCAAAGGAGGTATTTGTATGTAAATTGAACAAAACCCCTTTAAATGAAGTGTGTGTGTGTGTGTGTGTGTGTGTGTGTGTGTGTGTGTGTGTGTGTGTGTGTGCGTGGGGGGGTGTAATGTGTGGAGAGACATCTGTCTTGGATCTGAACTTTTGGTAAATTTATGTTTCATGAACTATAAATAGCCTAAGAATAAAGATTACCATTTTGAGAAGAAATCAATCAAATTAACTTACCTTTCATTATTCTCGCTGTCACTGTTTTCCTCACTCTCTACCAAATGTCCAAAAGGCTCAGAAGAGAGTGATACCACATTGTTGAGAATCACTCGGCTATCACTGCTGGAACTCAGCACTAACTGGTCATGAAAATGGTTATAACGGACTGACCACACCCTATAATATAGCAAATGAATTCAATAAAATGAAACAAGGCCAAATAGCAATTTGATAAAATCATAAAGAAAGTTCTATAATTCTTTTGCATTAGAAATACAAAAGCACCAACACAGAAAGCAATGCAGAACACAAAAGATGAAAGAATTTGTGAGATTAATTATTTCCACTTCAACAATGGAAAGTTAGTTTCATTATAAAATGTTTGATTCTATATGAAATAAGTAAATAAAATTCAAATATGTCATGTAGATAAGAAATATAAGTTAATTTTATCTAAAATTTTGCCAACTGAGAAATAAATATTTATTCTCTTCTTTGGCTCTCTCTAGCTAGACAACCGTTGAAAACATTGAAGATTTAATTTGATGACAAAAGGTATTGATTTTTACTGAACTGGTTGATTTTTGATTGATTTGTTTGTTTAACAGAATATCAACTCCTTATGGGTCATTTAATGTTGAAATTTAATTTTCTTGGGAGCTTTGAAATAATAAAAATATGATATATGTTATTCTGCTTTGACAATTGAATACATGGTAGATGATACTCAGCTTTTGTGCATATAAAAGGTTTGTGTGATCATGATTATTAGAGGCAGTGATAGGTGTGTTTTATAATGAAGTTAAAGTTTTATTTTGAAATACAGTTTGATTTCTTTAAGAAATTGTGGGATATTATATGGACTAATATTCTGAAAGAGTTCTTTCATGTTGGTCGTTTGGTTGGTTGATTTTGTTTGGTGGCATATCAACCTCTAGGGGTTATTTAATGATAAATATTTTGTATATAATGTTATAGTTTCAGAGTAAAAGTATGTTTTTAGATTATATATTTTGTATACATAAAATGTATTGGTAGTAATTTTACTATACAAATGTATTTCCAATTTTTTGTTTAGTGTTGCATTGATTGTTATTTTGCTATAAAAAATGTATTGTTGGTCATTTTATTATAAAAATGTACTGTTGATTTTTGTTTGGGTGATCACCATTTGCCCATAAGTAAAACCCTAACAGGTGCTACCACCTCAGGTCAGGATGGACCTGGAAACAACAGTAATTAACAAAATAAGTAAGTAACAAAATTTCCAATCCCCTGACCAGAGGCCTTGCTGTCGGATGTAGTTTATTGTCATACCCAGGACAAGCTTCTTTTTTTTTTTGAGTGGCAGTCCTTGTGGCAAATGGTTGAGGCTTGGATGTTCACTGACACAGCTTTTCTTTCAGTTTTGTCTGATTAGAATCAGGTTCATGTTTTTATCTCTGCCTGTATATACAATCTAAACAGCAATCCACAGCTATCTATTCCCAAGTGTCCATTCTGTTATCAACAGACTTCTAGTTTGTAGATGAAACTCTATTGTAGCAACAGGACACCCAATAGGTTTGGACCCTGCAGCAAGCTCCCCATCCAATTGATTTATTGTTTTTTTTACATCTTATCAACACCTTGTAAGAATAATTCTTTATTTTTTTGTGAGTGAATATTGCAGTAATAATTTTTTCAGCATAACAATGATTTTTCCAGATATGAGTTCTGCTATTTAACCCATAGCTGAGTGGAGAAGATAGATTCATATCTTTCCTATTGTGATAATAACAACAAAGATAAAACACTTAATCTGATTGTAAATAATGTAAATACACGTGTATGAATAATGGCAGGAGATTAAAAATTTCTGTTTCTAATATGTATTATTCTGAATCTTTTACAACAACTCACAACCCAACATTGTAATTTCATGATGAAATATCTATATTTCCAAATTTATCATTTAATATGGCTCCTGTTTTACGTTACCTGAATTCCAAGCTGAATTATGAATTTTTTATTACTTTTTCTTTCATCTTCTTTCTTTCATCTTCTTCATACTTTTTATTGGATTTTCCAATTCACTCTGTTTACTTTAACAACCAAAGGTAATTTGACCTTTAACCTTTTGATAAAAACAACCCTAATATGAATATTATCATTAATCTTCTAATCCATTTGATAATATAAACTATATAATTTTCTGTTTGCATGTCTACCTGTTGACAGGCATTAGAAAAATATAACATATCTGTATAAATACTGTTGTATTTACCTATATAAAGTTTGTAAAAAGAAAAATATATTAGCTTCACCTACTTTAAAAGATCAACAGGGTAAAGAAGTAATAAAATTCAAGACAGAAAGCCTGTCTGTCCCTGTCCTTTTTTTAATTTCCATCTCTTCTCTCTCAATTCTGTTATTGTGTGGAAATGAACAGATAGACGTGTGTCTGTGCAAAATATTTGCCCAGAGTGCATAGATATTACACTAACCCTAGGGGATTGAGAAGCGGCACTTTGATCTAATACTGTGCATACAGATACTCTGATCCCAAGCAAAATGAATGATTTATGCATAAATATTCCTGTCATATTAATATGTGAATTAAAGTAGAACGAGATATATTTTATTTTCAAATAGGAGTAGTGGATAAAAAATTAAAAAAATAAAACTGAAAGATTCATATAACAAGGAAAGAACAACAATATGGAATTATTTATGAAGAATATTGAAATTTATTGGTTCCAATCCATAGGAATGACTGCTAAGAACATCCCCCCTCCCCAAATTTATAGACAAATCCTACAGGTGCATGCTGGGACTTCTTCCTAACCAATAAAAATGAACAATTCTCAGTCTAATCCTGTACATTTTTTTCTTGTTTTCTTTAAGTCAGAATGCCATAATCACTTGACTGCATCCCTTTTGCATGTGAACACAATTCTTACTTTGTGAACTTTTGCCTTATTACTGTTGCTTTGCCTAGCATCAGTCATATATGTATATGTATATATATATATATATATACCCGAATTTAATGAAAATTAAAATAATATAAATTCTAACATTCACAGCATTAATTCAAAAGAGGGCTTTATACTAAGAGTAGAGCAATAATTATTTATTATAATTTTTACATACGGACAAAAACAACTTTCTCACTACAAAAATGCATTCTTGTTTCGATGTGACTGCATCTCGACTGGTGAGAACCACAAATGCAGTCACATCGAAACAAGAATGCATCTTTGTAGTGAGAAAGTTGTTTTTGTCCGTATGTAAAAATTTTATATATATATATATATATATATATATATAGTTTGCTTAGTATTATTTTGCTTTGTTGTTTTTATTCCCCTTCTTATTGTTTGTTGAGAATCTTGTCAATTACACTTAACCATGGCCAATTATTCCACGAAATTAAAGAAATATCATTAAAAAATAAATTATACTGTATAAGCAAGATTATTATTTCAAATTATGGAAAAATAAAATAAAAAAAAACCTCTGAAAAGAATCTGTTTCTTTCTTTCCATATTATTTTTATGGGCTTCTTTTCTGGTTTGGGACAAATATTTTTAATAGTCAGTAATAATAATAACTTTTTGAACAATGAATATTTTTTAGTCAAATGGCACAAACTTAGCCTAGATGACAGAGTGATGCAGTTCATTACCTCAAATTAAGCTAGAAGAAGGAAAACCTTGATTTCAAATTGAAACAATTATTATTTTACTCAGCCAAATTCTTCATGCTTGTAAAATCTTAGATGCCACAAGACATTTAAATAACAGTATTTCAATCCAATTTTAAGCATAAAGCATGAAAGTCATTATTTTTTCATGAAAAGCAATTGTTGTGTCTTATCCACTTACCAATGTGAATGATCAGTGAGGGTTTTTGTGGGTGTACTTGGGTTCCTCACATCCCAAAATTTTACCTTACAGTCATCACCACAACTTGCAAGATAGTACTGCTTATTTGGGTTGAAGTCCAAATCTCTAACCAACTGACCATGTGCATTTTCAATAACATACACCTGTCTACAATGAAGGAAAATATTCACAAGGTCAATCATTTTTTTTTAAATAATATTTTATTTTTTCAAATGAAAGCATATATAATACAGTTTGAAGAAATAGGAATTAGGATATTGTGTATAGTGATGAGCCAACAAAGAGTCAACTCCAGTAATTACAAACTAGTCAGCGGTTATAAAAATAAATAATACAATAATCACTTTAAGGTGGAAGTTAAGAAGAAATACTTCATTGTTTAGAAACACTGAAATATGAATTGATTTCACTTAACTTTTTTGGGGATCTCATACAAAAAAACATTTATTATTAAAATTAGATCCTGTTCAGCTCCATTTAATTTTCACTCAATGGAAGTTACTGGAAATAACATATTAATCTAGATATAAAATAACAATTGGGTCAATAATAAGTCAAATAATATTTTTTGTGCCATGCTTACAGCCACATCATGTTGAAACACTGGTTCTTGTATAATCACCAAAGTTAAGCAATGTCAAGCCTGGTCAGTATCTAGATGGGTGACTATTTGGAATACCAGGCCCTGTAAGCTTGGATGTGCCGGTGGTGTAATGGATAATAGCTTGGAAATCGGATAGCCGTGTTCTAATTTCCATTAGGTTTGTTATATTCACTTACATTCAAATACACTTGGGAAATGTAAGAACCCTCTTATCATGTCTTGCAAACCATTACCAAAGAGTAGTGAGTTTGATCCTCACTGGGTGCTCCATACTTGTGGCCTTATGCCAAACTAAGTTAAGGTTAGTAAATAATAATTAGACACTTTGTTATGTGATAATGAATGGCCAGTTAGTTTTGCCAATCATTGCCAAGGAGTAGTGAGTTTGATCGTCACTGAGTGCCACACTAAGCTATACTTAGTAAATAATAGCAGAAATGTATTCTTATTAAAATGATAAAAGCCAGTTAGTAATAATAACTTACTGCATTGTCCTGATGTCCCATCCTCTAATGGCTGTGTCATTGGCTGTAGCAACTTGAGCGCATTTATGATGCGGGTTCCACTTTCCTGAGGTCATTTTTGGCTGTCCTTTCACTTCAAGAGATGTGGAGCTAAAGATCTACAAGTCAGAAATATGAAGAAAGACTTTTCTGACAATCAATACATGTCAATATGTTGGTAATAAAAAAAATTATTTTTTTATACTAAATTTTTCCTAATACAAGGCTCAAGAGAGAGAGTTACTGAATGAGGTATGCAATATGAATGTAAGAAGAGGTAGCTGAAAGTGAAGATTATGAGGATAAGGAGGATAGATAGTGACTGATCCTTGATGTGAACTTATTAAGTTTGTAGTGTTGAGGAAAGCATCCATGTGGGAGTCTGTTCCACAAAACAGCAGTTCACAGAAAACAGTAGTCTGAGTAGAACTACTGCCTTACAAATGGAATATAGTGGAAATGCGTGTAATTCAACTCTTTGGATGTAGCATGGTGAGAGTCCTAGCTGTAAAGGTCTAAACTAGTGAAAGTAAAGAGTGGAATTCCTCTGAACATTTACCATGGAAATAGCAATTTTTTTTACACTATTGTTCATCCAATCAAGGTAGAGGATTACAGATTGAGATTTTTTTTATGGATGTAAGAGGGAGATTAACTGATATAAATATGGTTTAGGGTTAAACTTGTGAGTAGACATCTAGACCTTTGGTGATTTTTTTTTTGTACCCAGGTGCTCATAAAGAGAAAGACAAACATGAACCTTCATGCCAGCAAAAAAACAGTGTTTCAAAAGGACAGTTTTTCCCTTGACACTGCTATTATTTTTAACTACGTTCACACCCTTGGCAATGTCTATTTACAAGATTATCAAAAATTATTTATCTTTTATAAAGATTTATTATTTACCGTAAATGTGAAAAGAAATTTTTTCTTAAAAAATTATTTTCATATTTATTTCTTTATAAATTGATAAATGATAAACATTGCATTGTCAGTTTGTATTTTAAGAATGTTGTAAATATAAAATTATTTTAAATAATCTAATCAATAAATAGTATATAATACTTTTGTTGTAAAATCTTAAAGAACAAAGAAAATGTATAAATTCCATTTTGGGTTTTGTTTTGGTTTTATTAAAATTCTAATCATTACTTCTTAAAACAACATGCATTGCCGAGGGAAAGAAGGTAAGTAAAATTGGCAATTAGATAATGTTTTAAAACTTGTATTGAAGAAAGTTTACATATTTTAATAATTTTATAATTTAAAAAATTTTTTTAATAAAATGATTTCTTTTCACATTTATTTCTTTATAAAAATGGTAAATAATAAAACTTTTAATCTTGTAAATAAACATTGCCAAGAAAATGAACGTAGTTAAAACAATAGTGGTGTCAATGAAACAAATCGTCCTTTTGAAACACCATTTTTTGTGGGTACAAAGGTCTATATTTGCCAAAAGCTTCATATGAAAGTAGATCAAGAATAATTTTGAAAAGCATCACCAAAAATTAAAAGCTTGCTCATAAAAAAATATCATAATCTTCACATTATGAGAATGCATGAAAATAAAGTTTATATTCAAATATGGTTGACAGAAATTTTTGAAAAATCTTACAATACACCAAGTATATTTGTAGTTCTGCTTTATAATATCAGTAACTTTTAATGGAGGCACAGTAGAGTAATGAACTGAGGAATCAGAGAACTGAGTTTGAATTCCAGTCATGTTCATTACATTCACTTATGTGCTAATACCCTTGGGAAAGGTATGAATCCAACTCTTCTCCCCCCCAGCTATGGGTAAATAATAGGACAGACTTGGGTGGCAACCAGTCTAGGAGAAGGAAAACTCCGAATTCAAAACTGTATGTAACCCAGGTGAAGCACATACTATGCAGCTAAGGAAAGGATCATTCACATTAACTTGATGATTCTGACTACAGTTGACTCCATTTGTTTTGATCTTTCCATTGCAAAGGAGATAATTATAGTTATCTCACTTGCACTGTAGATTCTGTTATGATAATGAGGACTGTTTGACTAAAAAATGCAAAAAGATCATCTCTGAGAAATCTAGGAAAAAGTTTAAAAAAATAACTTATTGCAATGGAATCACAAATGGATAAATTATAATAATTGAAAAAATATATATCTAATGACTCACATTTGATAACCTTTTAATAACATAGGGAATTTAACAAAATATGCTGCCATTTCTTTTACTGCATTGGTAAACTAGTATCACTTTTAGATTCTATTGGACATAAATTGGGGGATCGGTTTTCTAATGTTATTAAGTACTAAATTGGTCCCTCCTTAAGAATTACTAAATATTAATATAACAATTCAAAAATATACTTAGACATATTTGAAAACCTAATATTCTTATAAATAAGCCATCATTTTTGATGGCATAGGTAAACCAGTTTCATAATATAACTTTTTGCCACACAAATGACATGAACTCACAACTTGTAAACTGCTCATCATCATCATCATCATCATCATCATCCTCCCCCCTCTCCTCCTCCTCCTTCGACCTCCCTGTGATTGGTTGGAACTCCATTAACAATCCCTTTCCACACTGCTTGCTCCTGCATTGCCGTCCCCAGATCCCCAATGTTCAACCCTGAGTCTCGAGCCATGGTGTCTGGTAAAGTCAACTTTTGCGAGAAGACACCTCCAGAAGGATAACATAGAAGTAAGTATGAGACAACCTCCCTGTCTACTCAGTGGAAGTGGCCGGCAAACTGCAATCGCTTTTGTTTGAGAGATTAATCTCAGTTCTCTGTAAATTGTGTTAAGCGTTGCATGGGATCTCCAACTGATGTTCTGGATTTTTCTAAGTAGATTTGTGTATGTTCCATTCAGTCATCTTTCAAGATGAACAGATAATGTAAAATGCTAATACCTAAGGCATAATGTTAAAGTTAGCTATTTTCTTATAAGAAATATTTGGCATTCATAAACCAAACAGTGTTAGTTGAAATCATTAAAACAGTTTTTCAGGAAATTAGGCTTCTCAAGTCTGTCTAATATTGATCGTCTTTCCTTTCTTTCTTTCTTTCTTCCTCCCTAACTATTCTTAAATTGTTGTTCTTAACCAGAGCAGGATTGATTAATTTGTTTTTTGCAGATTATTTAAGCCATAAAATATTTTTAAATTGTAAGAATTTTTTGGAGATAATGGTTTACTGACACATGTATTACTAATTAACCCATAGCTGGGGGAGAATAGGTGGATTCCTACCTTTCCCAAAGATATTTGCACATAAGTGAATATAACGAACACAACTGGAATTGGAACTCTGCTCTCTGATTTCCAATTCTGAGCAGTTATCTATTACACCACCTACACATGCAAACTTACAGCACCTGGTATCCCCAAGCAGTCACCCATCTAGGTAATGACCAGGCTTGATGTTGCTTAACTTCATTGATCATATAGGAACCAGTGTTTGGTGTTCATACAAGAAATGGTGTTTCAATGTAATATGCCTGTAAGCTTAAACAGTACAGAAATCAATATGTTAGACATTATATCACTTTGCAGTGTAAAATGGACTTCATGTTGACCTGTTGATAATTTTAATCAAAATTTTAAAAAGGACAGAAATTTGTTTTCTTACTTTTGCTGATGCAGATGCTACATTTAAATCCCAAAGCAAGATGTGGTTATCTGCAAGTCCAAGTAATGTGCTTGCTTCTCCTGTCGGGTGCCATAACACACTGGAAGCACAAAGAAGATACGTCAGTTCCTAAGCAGACTGAAGGAACATTAAATGCAGAAATAGAATTCATATAAACATTAAAAGATAAAAGTTAAAACAAAAGAATAATTTATATTATTGAATGAATATATTGAAGAAAAAAAAACAAAACATTAACTGTCAATATATATTTCAGAAATGAACCTTTTTGTAGATATGAAAATTTTACTATAACAATAAATATTAAATGAATCTCTTTGATGAAGAAAATGGTCAATTCTTCTCAGTAATATCAAGAAATGGTGGAGTAAGTGGTAAAGAAGAGTGGTGATGTCAACTACTCTACTGCATTTCATCCTGACTGCCTATGCCTATCCCATCTCAACTACTGCTGTGACAGCCCCCAGACTCAATTACTGTTGTAATTGTTCCTATCTCAACTACTTTTGCAATGGCTCTCATTGGGTCTCTGTATTTATGGGGAATATGTTTCTTTCAAGTGTCAAGTTACAAGTTGTTTTGCATATGGGCATAGAAATGAGATCAGAGGAAGAATTTTGATGATATAATGCTTGACTCCAATAGTCAAGCAAGGCAGAATAGTAAATAGTACTAAAAAATAACAAATTCATTGCTAAATTTTAGTTAAGACTTCGCCTAGCTTGTGCCATCAGACTTATCTCAATTGTCATTTTTCTAGCAGCAAGTTTAGACGAGAGGTAGTTACTCTTTGTTTCACATGATCCTAATAGTTTAAACCCTGTTAAATCATGAGTTCAAACCCAGACAATTTCAGGTGTTAATTCAATTTTTTGTAATTAAATGCATTACTTTCTCCAACATCCCACTAGAAAATCCAGACCCCATGATAATTCTAGTATGCTAGTAAAATCTAAATTACCTAGCATGGCAATCTAAGTTTTTCATATCAACTTCTCCAGTTAATGTCCAATTCAACTCTCACCAGGTATGGATTCACAAACTTGTAAAACCCACACCAGTAATTCTATTACATTCTTCCTTCAACCACTTGTAATTTACCCTCCATGGCAAATTACAAGATCAATTCTCATTTCATTCAGCCACAAATTACAGACTCACTTACTGGTAAAATCCAATATTTTTATTATAGAATTTTATCTCATTCAGTAATATTATTTTATCTCTATTTAGATATGTAGATACAAATTAGAAATCACTTGAACTTCAATTGGAACAGGATGTTCTGTATTTCAGTTCAATTCAATATACCTGGCAATCCTAATCCTGTCACATTTTCAATGTTCTTTGATAATTCTATACTTTTGAAATGTCATTCTTTGCAAGAATCATATCAAAATCATGTCATATCTTTCTTTACAAAATTCCATTTTGTCAAGTTATAAGTTTAAGAGGAAAATGGACAGAATGAAAACACAAAGTAGGGGAAGAAATTTAACAAAAACTCACCATTTAATTTCTCCATAATCAGAAAAATCAAGAGGACACAGCAGCTGCAGAGGCTGATGACTATTTGTATGATCCTCATTCATACTGTTATCAAAATCAGAAGGTAGCCTCCATACGGCAGCCTGTACTTCTGTGCGACTGTCTACTGCTAAATAAGTAAATAAAAAGCAGGAATATAATTCAGCCTTCTACTTTTTATAAAGATGCAAATAATTCCAAGTTTGAGAAGAGTCAAATATAGGTCTTATTGCCACAAGAGAAATTAATTGTCTCGGATTGAGGAATCGGAGAGCCAAGTTCGAATTCCAGTTGAATCCATTACATTCACTTACATGCTAATACCTTTGAGAAAGGTGTAAATCCTCTTCTTCTCCTCCCCAGCTATGGGTAAATAGCAAGACAGACTGGGTTCTATAGCCTTGGATGGCAACTGGTCTACTGCAGAAAGAAATGGCAACCTACTGCGGGAATAACATTTACTTTATAATAGTGAATGGTTACAAGCGCAAGAAGAGATGGGATGTGCTTATTTTATAACCACACTGTAAGCGTTCTGGGATTGTAAAGGAAATATTTGTCGCAGATTACTTCCACAATGCAGAGAACAAATCACTGTAAGTTTAGACTCAAATACCTGGGGCAGAAAGAAATGCCAAAAACTCGATTCGCAGGTACTATCTCACAAATCACAACGCACGTAACCAGTCAGAAAAATAACTCACTCTCCGACGAACACTGTAGCCAAAATACACAAATTTTATTTCTCACCATTAATTCAAGAACACCAACTGCTTTTATCAGCTGAGCATTTTTTCCATTCATCGACAACTGGGAGAGGATGCCCAATTTTTGCATACTTTTATAGCGACTCCTGCGACTGACTTGTTTCTAATTTAAATATTCTGTCTTCAGCATGTCATGCAGAATATGTGCCCTTTTTTTTGGGTAAGTAATTTTCTTTTTCACCACATTTTCTGTCATAGGATACATGTGATATGCTGTTGCTTGGTTTGATGAGGTAATTTGCCGTTTTCTTTATACACACTCTCCCTAGAAACTAGTGCTAGAAAAACACCAAGAGCATTAACAAATAATAAAAACTTTATCACTTGAAGAATTCTAACAGCATCAGCAACAAATATGGGTAGCACATATAACTAGAAGGGAAAATAATGATATAACCAAGATGTTGACTTTCCACACTACATTAAACAAAGGATTTGGAAGGAAACTCCCATCAACATGAGAAAGTGCAATAAAAGTTAACTGACTCAAGAAGTTTAATTTCCTGTAAAACTATTTTAAAAACAGTTTTATAAATTTCAACCAACAGTAACACTAACTGTTCAGTTAATGAATGCCGAGTGTTTCCCATATGAAAATGGCTAATTTCACCATTATCATTGAATTTTATCTATTATTCCTGTATAAGCTTTCATAAAAAAGAGATCAAAATATCTATATTGTAACAAAAATCACTTTCTATTTTCCATTAGTTAAACACAAATAGCAGCATTGGATGAAAGAAAAAAAAAGTTTTGTCTATAACTTTGAGAAAAGTCATTAATATATCCAACATTGTTCAGACCTTTCTTTGTATTTTTGCTGTTGTCATCATAATGTTTCAGTTGATTCATTCTTCAGCCTTCTTCAGGTATTGCAGACGGAAACTTCAAACTCATAAATTATTTATTTTTGCATAAGATCCAAAAATTATGGTACAAGAGAAAAGAGTTGGTCTTCACTATCCTCATATTGAATTAGTTGCATTTACTGAGACAGCTAATCTTCATTGTCCTTTTCAAAATCTTCTTTTATGAGCTGTGTCCCTTCAGGACGTAGGCAATCATGGCCCTCCACATCTTCCTATCCCTTGTAGCTCTTAATAAGGTTTTCTTTTTGTTATTTCTCCCAAACCCTGTTCTGTCATCCATTTGCTCAAACCCATCAAGTATGTTACATGCTGCTTTCCTCTATCCCTCTTTTCCCTCTATCTGTCCCATGAGTATCAGGTTTTCCAAGCCCTTCTTCCTCAATACGTATCCCAGAAATTTCAATTGCTTCTTCCTAATGTTAAGTATAAGTTTCCTTTTTGTTTCCATTCACTCCAAAACCTTGTTGTTGCTCACATGTTCGGTTTATGGTATCCTCAGGATCTTTCTGTAGAAGCACATTTCTGTTGCTTCAAGTCTCTTCTTCATCTTTGAGGAGATTGTCTGGCATTCACTGCTATACAAGAGGATAGATATCAGGTTCAGTACTCTTTTATTTGTTTCTAATGAAATTTTTCTCTCTTAATACTCTGCTTAGCTTTTGGAATGCATCTTTAGTCATCTCAATATGTCTTTGGATCTCAGTGTCACACTTTAAGTGTGCTTTCCTTTGTATTTTATCACTTCAGTGGAAGTCGTTTATTTTACATACCAAGGACTGCTCTATCCTTACTGCTTGGGCATTTATATAGTCTATGCCATATCTATGCTAATTAGGCAGTCATTTACATATTACTACATTACCGTTATGTCAACACTACCTTTTCATCCTCAAAAAATAATTTTCTAAATTCTGATGCCCTGCAGATTGTAATGTCACAAGAAAAACGTAGTAAAGTATATGTTCTTTCAAAACTTAGATCTTTGCTGAAATATTTGTCTACTGTCATTAAAATACAATATGATTATTTTTAAGACAATAATAACCAACTAAGAGAAATACTGCCATTGATTATCTTAATCATCATCAACAACACACCATGCATTTCAAGCAAAAATATCTCTTTCATGCTCATTGTGCATTTTAATGTCATTGATTAAGATATGTCTCTATTTGGTGTCTACTTGAGAGAAATTGTATCTGAATGAAAGCAAAGGAGACAAGCCGGTGAGACAAAAATGGTAAATGCCAGGCTTGGTGAGCAGAGAGAAAAACAGTAAACAAAATGGCAAAAATAAAGGTAAATAAAATCTTACTCTTATTATAGCAGGTAGCCAGGACATCTTTGTCCATGGTGGAGGCACTGATGTACCAAATTTCACCTTCCCGATGCAGGAACACATTTTTGTTGATCACATTATTCTCATCATCAAAATCTATATGATGAATCTGAAGACAATATTGCAAAAAATACAAAAAATAAACTAAGAAATGAGAAACTGGGAAAATAATTAGGAAAATGATTAACAAAGCAATTAGGGAGACAAAGTTTATTCTATCATTTAGATTATATGTTTTATTTTTTTTTGCTTGGGTGGGGGAATATGGAATTCAGTTTTTTAATTTGTTGTATGCTTGCTGAATTGTTTATTTTTGTATCTTTGAGATTGTAGCAGATGCTACACCTGGTTTTGCCAGACATGTATGCATTGAAAACCATATTAACAGCAGCAGCAATCCTCTTTTAGCTTTTGGGAATGCATAAAAGAAATGCATGCATAGTGTGAATCTCAAAAGGCTATCTTTCTTTCATACCATGCTGGGTTCAAAGTAGGATGTGAAACTTAGTACCTCAAGAACAGATTCACATAGATAAGACATTACCTACCAACAGAATAAGTTCAACTATAGTGGCATGAATTAAAATGAACAGTTGGTTTACCCATGCTAAGAAGATTAATGGAGACAAAGAAACACACAGGTAATTTTAACAAAACAAGATAAGGAATTCATTTATAAATTTACATGCCTAAAGTTATGTCAACAGTTCATTTCAGGAAAATAAATCAGAAATTTTTAAAATTTGTAGTTTCATTAACTTGGCATATAAAGGAAATGTTCATACAACAGACTAAATGATCTGACACAAAATAATATTCAAAAATGTTTAAAACAAAAGTAAGACAGTTTGTTATTCACACAGTTGTATATGTTCAAAAGCAGATGAAGAGAGATAGTTTAAAATACTTATCCATCTTAGATTGTTGAAATGAAGTTCTTTGAAGTGCCAAATGCTTGGTTAAGGCCGATAATATAATTAGTAAGTAATTTGACAGTGGTGAAAATCTGAATGCTGAACACTTTAACAGAAATTAAATTTTTCACATGATTTCAGACACTCTTGTTTTAATTTTTTTCCTTATTTTATATCAAAAAGGATTTCACATAGACTATTTCCTTTTTTCTTTTTCTCAGCTCAACAGCTAATTCCTGTGAAAACAAGCTTTTCATTGGTCTAAAGAAAATTTCACATAAGTTTGCAAATTTGTTTTATCTTTTTCCTCAGCTTGCCCGAACTTGAAAGGAGTAGGTAAAGGGAGTTATTATTATTTCATACTCACCACACAACCATATCCATTCCTTCCTTTAGATAAGGACTATCATAAGAACATTCCTTGACTTTACACTTTCTTTCAGGTACTATTCTTGAACATTCTCTATATTAATAGTTCCAATAGAATCAAAAATTTCCATCTCATTTTATTCATTCTCTTGTTTGTTTTCTCAACAGAGTCAACACGTATAGTTTTTGTTCATCAAGACATGACACCTTCTCACCCTCAAACAATGACCCAAAACCTAACACAAGATGAACGAAAAAAATTGAAAATGAAAAAAGAATCCTCAAAACAGAATTACTTGATTTTCAGCTCGAAGACTCTGAGTTCCAACCAAAAATCGTATATTCTCTGTCTCGGCAGTCTGAGCAGTGAGAGCACGAGCCTGAAGAATAAAAACAAAATCTGTATGTATCAGAAAAATAAAATAATAAAAATTATTTGGGCTTGCCAATTGAAAGATGTTAATAAAAAAATTAAAATGAAGAAACCAGTTATATTCAAATTTATTATTATTTTTTTCCCCCAAGAAAAAAAATTTTAAGTTATTTTCAGATATTTAACTCATTATTTTTTAATTTCTTGTTTCCACAATGTTTCGTCAAGTTCATTATATGAACTCCTTCAGATGTGCTATCCATATAGAAAGAAACAATTTCTTTTTTCAGTACTGAAAAGCAAAAAAAAAAATAAATAAATAACAGAGAGGAAAAGAGGCCATCTCTTTTCATACAGATAATATACCTGAAGAAGGTCATAGAATGAACCGGCTGAAACACTGTAATAAAATAAAAATAACAGCAAAAAAATGACTTTGTTTTGAATTTGTTAAATGATAATGATTGCTCATAATTATCAAAAATAAAAAAAGACTATATTTAAAAACAAAAAATAATAAAAAGTATATAAACTAAAACTTTAATAAAATAATAATAATGTTGAGCATGATGCAAATAAGCATCAAACTATTTTAAAAAAATGACAATTTTTGTTTGTTAATCATACAGATTACCAAGCAGCTTATTTTTTTGTAATTAATTAACAAGTTTCACATTTATTATCTAAATCATCAAATGCAAAAATACAGTTTGAGTTAACGTTGATTTCTATTTGTCAGAGAAAAGAAACAGGGTGTGCATGTTGTATTTAAATTGTGAAATGTAAATTTAATTTCAAAAGTTAAGGTTCCTATTTGGACAGTTTTGTTGTTGTTATTATTACTAAATTTAAATTTACATATCTTAAGAAACAAATAATGTGAGATTAATGAATTTAAGATTTTTAAAGAATAGTTTGGAAGTAAGGAAGGAAACTTCTTCCTGTCATTATTAGAAAAGGACTTAAAAATTTTATTTTCCAGAAAAAACTGTTTCAAGAAAAATATTTTATAAATTTCGCGTTCGACCGATGTAGCAATGCAATGTTCAGCAGTCAATGTATGCCAATTTTTTTTATGGAAACGGATAATTTCAACATTACGATATTGGCCGTGTCCTGTGTGCATTTGTTTTTTAGTTAGTGGTTGTAAAAAAAAAAAAAAAAGAGATAGCTGTTTTTCGAAACTGAATGAGGATGGAAGTTGAAATTTACCAGTCTCTGTTTGCCAAGAAAATCAGCATTCGAAATTTTAGTTTAAACTTGGACACGAACACCGACCTTTGGTACCAGTCACAGATCATAATTAGGTGTTTAGTTTGTCTCACAGCACATTCTCTTTCCTTGTGTACAGACAGTGTTGTAAATGTAAATGTCACAGATCGTAAACGTAGGTCGATCTTCCTTCGGGTTACTAACGATCCATCTTTTGCTTTACACTGACAGATTTCCATTAAAAACAAAAACTTATGCCTTACAAACTACAACATTTTTTTCATGCCTCATATTACAAGTGCCAAAGGATGCTTCTTAAAAAATTTAGCCACATTTTAAAACAAATAATGACGGTTCGAATGGTACAAAAATAGAGAACTAAAAAAAGAGCACAAGAGAATTTGAAAGCAGATTTTTTTGAGTCATTTTAATTTAAAAAAATCCTCAAACTTTTTCTCTGCACCTTTGGTATAATGAACAGGAAAAAATATTCTCTTTGTTTTTGATTGCTTTTAAGCCTATGTTATGATGTGTAGAATAAGTTTTGCAATCTAGTCTTAAGACTTAATGTCAATTGCATTCTTTCAATTGGAAATCATTGTTTCAGTTCATCTAAAGTCTAAACATATCGATCAAAATGTTTATTAAATAATTTTAAAAATATATTAAAAAGAGGATGAGCGGGTTGTACCTATCGTTAGAATGCAACTTCGATCGAAGATTATATATCATTGTTTACAATACATTTTATAGTACAGTTAAAAATAAAATGTCTGGAAAAAGGAAGATGGGAAAATACTATATTCGAAATACATTTTCTATTTCTTTAGTCAATAAAATATATCTTTATGAATCTTACACTATATTAAAATTATACTTAGTTTTGATTCTATTTTAAATTTTTCTCCGTAAATTTTGTAAATTTTTTTTGCAATTTTTTTAAAACTCGTTGATAATAGACAATTTGAGTTAACTCCTCTTGCTTGAATATCTAAAAAAAAACTTCAAATTGTCAATTTAAAAAAAAAACCAAAACACTTTAGCACTGAAACTCAAGAAACGAAAAGTACAGTGTATTTCCTCGCAATACCTATTTTATAACAGTAAAGAAACAGTAATTTTGTATTACGGGAAATTCAAGACCGTAAATAACAGGCGCTTCGTCCTCCATGGCTTCGTGTCGTCAGCTACACAACAGGACCACTGACGACTGTCGAAAACAATATAACTTACTTTTCTTAGTATATTCTGGATTCAGTTTTTAGAACTAAAACAACAACAGAATTATGTTAATTAACTTTGGAAATAAATTAAATATTCTAATCAGGAGATTTGAGAGTCGCAAAAGTTATCGCAGATGGTAACGGTGAGAGTAAAGGTTAAAGTTAGAAAAAAGTGGGAGGAACCAAAGATTGCTTTACGATAGTTAGAGAGTGTAATAGTTATGGTGGTCAGTTATCAATATTTGACGTGTTTTTAGCTTCTTTTTTCAGTTTATAACGGACCCTGAAAGGTATATTCTTATTTAGTGTGTGTGTGTTGATATAATGCATATATGGTATTTATTTTCTTAAAATCTAGCTTTATCCTTTGTAAATAAAGTAGGTTTAGCGACAATCGAATATGAAATGAAAGCGATGCTGAACTCCTTTTTTTTTCTTGTCAATATTTTCACTAGGTAGAAAAGAACTAACAGAATCTTTTAAAATTAATTTCATTTATAATTGAAATATTTTTAAATACTTATCATTCTGAAGTGGTTTTAAATTTAAATATATTTGTTCTAAAATATCATTTTTAGCTTTTCTTTTTAACACTAAAAACGCGATTGAAAATTTTCTTTTTGCATTTTATTTTTTTTTACATTTTACGTTATTTTTCTATTTTATTACAATGAGAAAATTTTCTAATCGGTCTATTTTCCGTATATTCTTCAAACTTATTCTTTAACCTTACGTTGACATTCATCTTTATGAAATATTTTAATAAAGATTTAAAAATAAAAAATGGTAATGAATATTATAAATAGAGAGACGGAAAACAAGGTTGTTTTTTTTTTGTTTATAGTGTCGTGTTCCGTCATGAAAAAAGCGATCACGACTCTCCACAGATTTTCTTTAAATTATCATCTATAAATTTCCATGCATTATTGGGGAAAAATAGCGGAGTAGTCGCCCGTCGCCTTCTCCACGGTTTGGAATTCAGTTTTAACTTTTGATTGTCATATCTGGAAAAATGTGAATGATTTAGGACGTATACAATTAATTACTAAGTTATTTAGTAATTAAATTAATTGTATACGTTCTGTGATTATTAACTAAATACTAAATTATATCATTCATTTTTTTTTTTTTTTTTAGATATAACAAGCAAAAGTTAAAACTGAATTCCAAACTTTTTTTAAATAATAAAAAAAAAGGGTTTTTGTCTTTCTGGTGTAGTTTGGTCTGCTTTTTCTTTTTATGATAATTTTTTTTCTTTGCAACTTTATTCATTGTTCAGAAATTGGAAGTTTCTTACACATAGTGATAATGATCGAAGTAGCTTTATTGGGGGTGGGGTCACTTTAAAGGGTGCAACAGAAATACCTCCCACTGTTTTTTTTATCATTCTGTAAGAAGAGACAGGTATTTCTACCGCACCCTGTATATGCCGAAACGGTTTGTCCGACTTTACGACATCGAATGCTCAATTTCCATACTGCAGCTAACTAAACCAAATGAAACCCTTATTTTTTCATCCGCCCTTATGCAAATATCTAGGTAATAATTTTACATAAGCTAAAAAAATATGTCTTTTTTTTTTTTATTATTTTATCTTTTTTTATTATTTTATAAACTTAATAAAGTGTTTTTTTGGAGTTGTTAGTTAACTCAAACTGTTTAATGAATTCAGTTCCTCTTTACTTTTTAGATGAAAAATAAGTCTTTTTATTTTTTTGGTCTTTTTAGAAAATTATGGGCATTTTAGAACAACACAAAAAAGACACGCTAATTTTATAAAAACTATCACAAAAGGGTTTTTTAGCATTTTATTCATTAAACTACAATTGTAAATCGCGCTCCATAAACTAAAGTTCTCTCAAAGCATATGTCATGTTCATTGAATAAAAGCTCATAAGAAGTCAAGAAAAATGTATTTTTCTATAAATCAATCAATACGCATTTTAGTTTACTCAACTGAATCTTTACCTTTGAAATATGCATTCTTGGAATTTGACCGAACTTGGCCTTTAGCTAGGCCCTAGGGTATCTAATTTTCCAATTTCTTGTCCTCAATACAGTAATTTACATTATTAAATAGTGGGCCATGTGACTGAATTACTATAGTACTTTCTCATTTGATGATTTTTCCATGAAACTGAATGATGAAATAGTTTTTGTAGCTTTTGCTCTTTGGAATTTTATTGATAAAGGTTCATTAATTTTCTTACAGCATTGAAGAAAGCTTGCGAAAAATATGGATGGACTATTGTTAATTTTCGCTTTTCAAACGATTTTTGCATTCCCAACACTGATAGTCACTGTAAATGTTCCTCTTTTAATTTTTTTTTTTTTTTAACTAACCTCAATCAATATTCTTCGGATTTGAAAAGTCCTGCTTCTGAAAAAAAAAAAAAAATGAACAGATCTATTTCAATTTATGGAAGATATTTGAGGTTAATAAACTCTCAGAAACAGGGAAAAATAGTTTTTGTTTTAATTTCTGTGAATATTTTCTCTCGACATTCTTTCATTTAAGATGGGAATATTCAATAATTCTTGGCTAGTATTACTTTGATTTCTTCGTTTTTAAAAAAAATATTAGGGAGGTGTTTTACTGATTGAGATATATATATATATAAGTTTTTGCTGTTAATTGATGATCAATGAAATAAAAGTCTGTGATAATTAACAACCACGTTAATGGTTTTAAATGTCTCCTCACCAACAAAAAATTTGTACTAAAAAAAAAATGAGAGATTTAAGAAAAGTTTTCAGAGCTTACAGCCAAATTCTCCATTTATTTGAAATAACTGCTGCAATATGGAACAGATTTCCAAGAGGATGCTTCTGTCATAACTACAATCTTAACCTCTTCAAGTTGAAGGTTGACCGTTATCAGTCCTACATATCCTCATAATATGCAACCCTTGCTCCCTCCTTATGCACCCTTACATCCCCATTTAGTAACCCTCTACCTTGAGAGGCACTTAGGCATTTTATTGAGTGAACAACAGTAAAAAAAAAAATCATTTTTTCATGAATAAAGATTATTTTTCTTAAATGCCAAAAGACTAAAAGAGATAAGTACTTTGATTATATATATATATATATATATATATATATATATATATATAATTTTAATTTTAGCAATAACACTTATTAGCTTAATATATATAATATATTCCAACACAAGTAAGGTTTTCAAGCAAGAGTATTACACCAGAGAAAATCTCAAGAATACAAATCAAACATTCATCAAAATCTTCTTTGGCAGTCAGGTACAGATTATTTAAAATTCAGACATTTCAATATATTTCAGTAAAGTTCCATTATAAGAAAATACGTGTTTTGCTTGTGCTAAGATCAAATTATGATAAAATTCAAAGTTATCATAAACAAAATTATTTCAAAAACTGTTGAATTTTTTAATGAAATATGTAGCTGAAGATTCATGCAGGGCCTGGAAGAAGAATTGAGTCAATTTTCAATATAGTTTTATGCAGATGGCAAAAGTAGGTTTTCTTGGAAAGCATCTCAAGAAAAGTCAACTTCTCATCGCAGAAAGAAAATGGATAAGGAATAATTATGTTGCTTATTGTTTATATATCTGTCACATGATCCTGGTCATAAACACATTATCTGATGCAATATTTTTTTATCAACGTGATAAAAAAAATTGGTTGAAAATTAAAAATTATCATCAATCTCTCTCAGTGGCAGATTCAAGATTAACATGACTTGTTCCCTGCCAATTATTACAATCTTACTAAGCTTATTTAGTACCTGCCACAGAATCATGTTATCCATTCACCTCTGTTTTGGTTATTCTCTATTTCTTTTTCCAGGCATTCAAAACTATATCTTTTAATTGTGTGAAGATAGTTTTAAAGATTTGCTACAAAGAGTGAAAACAAGTTTATTACATTTCTAAGGGTTTTCAATTTTCATTTTGTCTATCAGATGCTGATTTGTGATGATGCATATATGGTTTTGGAATGTTTCAAAACTTTCAGCATGAAATTAAAATATTCCAAAATTTTAAATAGGTTGTATAAATAACACAACCTAAATATTGAAATGTGTCTGATTGTTCTCATCAATGTAAGAATTTGAAAGTTTTTGTTTCAATGGTTAAAAAGTTATTCATAAAAAATATCCAAATTGTAATTAAAAATACTGGTAACAAGATTAAATTCTTTTTTGCAATGTTTCTATAATGATTCAACACTTAGGTTGTATATATTGGCTCGGAATGTGATACCAGTTAAAAAAATTAAGGAGAATGTAAGAGAGGTAAGTCAGTATTTGGTATGCAGAAATCGTTTGAAACTCTAAACTTAATGATACTTTTTTTGAAATAGTTACTTTCAAATGGAGTACATTTTAATAGCCTTAGTATGAATTAATATTATTAATTATTATTGATCAATTTTTGCTTAAATTTTACTCTTTATATTCTAATAAGGCTACAGCTATATCATGTTGATACACCAGTTCTCATATGATCACCAAAGTTAAGCAATGCCAAACCTGATCAGTACCTAGCTGGGTGACCACATGGGGATAGCCTGTGTTGTAAGCTTGAGTGTATGGGTGGTGTAATGGATAATGGCTCAGAGTTGGTAATTGGTGAGCTGAGTTCCAATTCCAGTCAGGTTTGTTATATTCACTTACATGCAAATACCCTTGGGAAAGGTATGAATCCAGCTCCCTTGCCGCTATCTATGGGTTAATTAGTAGGAGTTGTATCTTCAAAGAATTCTTACAATCTAAAAATATTTTCTGGCTTTAAATAACCTTCAAAAGGTTGATAAGCCATAAAAAATGCATCAATCAATCTAATAAGAGTAACAATACTGAATTAAAATATTAATTCTAAATGTAATCTGAACTAATTCTTATCTAAACTTAAGATAGCTTTTTATTTAAAATAAGCTCTGAAGCTCAGCAAATATAGTTGCTTTTAATTATTCAAAATGTTCAACTTTATACACATGGGAATTAATTTGACTGAGCAGAACGGAAGTTACTATAAACATTAAAAATCTCAGTATCTGTCTATATTTCTGAGATGAGGTATTATGTACACTATTTACATTATTCAGACTATTGTACTCATCTTTGTTGCCATATTTGTCACGTTTCAGCCATTGTACACTCTGGCCTTCTTCAGGTGGTTGGAATGTCAAACTGAACCATTTATTTTGCTCGCTGGAGTAGACTATTCTAATGCCACGTGCCATGTCTAATGGATGTCAGTTATCTCCAGTTAATTCCCCTCTCCAAGTTCTCCACTGCCTTAACCGAGTATTGAACTCACACTCTTTGGGTCCTGTCACTGGATCTAATGCCTTTATCCACTGTGCAATATGTCCTGATAATGACATTGTTCCTTGTTTACTTCTTGCTTTTATTGTTTAATTTACAAATCTAAATATAAATTATTGTCCTATTGTAAGATCTTTTACAATGTGACTGTATGCATTTAGTATATACAAAGATAACTTTTTTGTTGAAGAATTTCAATGATTTCCTCATTCCATCAATTCTAATGCTTATGACCTCTACCTTAAAATATATGCATTCTTCGTTTCACTAGTCATTGTCACATTCAATGTTTAATCTAATTCACTGAATAAATCCTATATCATATTCACTACAAATCTTAAAAAGTGTATTATCTCCATTTAATACATTCTTTTTGCTAGAATAAAAAAGCTGAAGCTTTTGAATTTTAACTAGTTCTTTAAACCCATCATTTTAAAAATAATATGAACACTTGTAATGCCAGTATCTAAAGTAGAAAAATTGTTGGTAAAAACAAGTCATTAAAAATGTTTTATCTCAATTTCTGAAATGAAGAATTATTATTATATACCGATTTATTGAAACAAGTATCCTCATCTTGATTGTTACTATCACAATATTTTGAATGTTGTAGCTTCTAGCTTTCTTCAGGTGCCTGGGAATTTTGAACCAAACCCTTGAATAAAGGATTTATTTCAAAATTCTTAAGAGGTTACCAATTACAACAGATATCTGAAGAAATCTTGAAAGTACAATGGCTGTGATCATAACAACCAAGATAAGGATACTAGTTTGCGTCAGTCAATGTATAATAATGAATTAAAATGTATTTGCTAACTTGATACTTCAAAAAAAATGTTTTAAATATCATGTACTTTCAGAACATAAGTGATCATGACTCTCCACAGATTCTTTTTCTTTATTATCTGTGAATTGTCATGACTTCTTGAAAAATTAGTGGAGTGGTTTCCTGTTGTCTTCTTCACAGTTTGAAATTCAAAGTTTCTCATAGACTGGTTGCACTCAAGGTTAAAGAGCCCAGTCTACCTTGCTATTTAATCCATAACTGTGGAGAGGGGAAAGTGACAGATTCATGCCTTTCCCAAGGGCATTAATGCGAAAGTGAAGGCAACCTACCAGGCTGACTTTGGAACTCGGTTCTCCAATTTTACTTTCCCCACTAATATGTGTTATAACTACTCACACATATTAAGAGTCTGTTAAAGAAATAAACATTTTCCATTGTAAATATAAAGCCTTGTGTCATTATAATTCAAAATCTGTAGAAGCGGTAACCATTTGTTTTTTGTAAATGTTCTGAATGTCATTATAGACACATTATTATTATTTTTAGTTGACATTATGCATCAATAAGCTTATAACTATTTACTGAGTTTTGATCTGAAATTTTTACTGTATTATGTTTGATTTATATAATTAATGGATAAGTGATGTTACTTAACCTTTTAGAGGCCAGACATATGTTTTAAAATTTGCTCTACTACTGGGACAGTGCGCACTAATGGTTTAAGTACATTGACAAACAGATTATGTTGAAAAATATTTGTGGCTATGTTTTTTTCATTATTCAGTTAAGATAATTCCAACAATACATTTTCTTCCACAATCCAGATGTTAAAAATAAAGCATACTCTAATAGAATAGAGGCTTAATCTTAATACCATATCACATCAAAAATAATTACTGTTGTTACAATCAAATAGAATCATGTATTTTTAGTAAATCATCAACTAAGTTTTGCATGAGATCTGTGAAACTTTTCAGCAGCTAAATCTCTGTTGAAATACAGCCATTCCTCACTTAATGACTGGGCTAAACAAGCTGGTTGCTAAGTGAGAAGTTATAACTGACTGCTATTTTCCACATACTGCAGGTGTAATAGGTTTGTGCCAACCAGCTTCAGATAGCTTTAATATCATTTTTTAACCATTTGTAACATTTCTAATTTATTTCTAAATGCTTATTCACTATAGTGTACTGCACAGTAAACATAATAAACAAATTTGAAAATCAATTCTATATTTTGTACTTTACTTCAGTTTGCCTACTGTAAATACAACCCAAGTAAATTTTTATTTATTTTTCACCTTTTTTATTCATTTTATTTATTTGGATTCTTTTTTTTTTTATTAAAGACAAAATTTCTGATAAAAGTTTATGTACAATGTTACAATATTGACAGGTTGGATTTTTAAAAAAAATGATTTTATGAGATTTTATAGCTTATTGTAAGTTCGGGGTTGTTAAACATGTAAGTCATAAGTAAGGAATTGCTGTATTGACAAAATATGTAGCTTTATTTATTTCAGAGAAGTTGATGAAATTTACAACAGATTTAACCAATGTTTGGTATTCTTACCTTCAAAAACAGTCAAGCATTATATATTTTAAACTAATTTCTTATTGTAGAAAGAGTGGTAGTACCTGTTAGGGTCCCAGCTATAGATAAATAGTTAACCCCCAAACTGGGGTCAAAACACTATAAAGGTATAAAATTAGATTATTATAGTAAAAATACCAGCAACGCATTTGACTCTCAACAAAAACCCTCTTTACAAAAATATGCCAATGAAGCCCGATATACAAAATGATTTCTTACAAAGAATACATATTCTATTCATATGAACTTATCCTAAAAATCTTGTCAGCATTAAATAACTCATTGAGATTCATATACCATAAAACAAAATAAACCAATACATCATATGCACTTCTTTTCAGTGAATTGTTTTAAAAAACAATTTCATGCTTTATTAAAAAAAATATTCTGTTGAATTGTCATTTTTGTCCTGATATCAATTTGTATTTTTGATGTATTGATATCTGTTATACTTAACAGGACATATGATACACATTTATAGGAGTTTTTTTTTTCCACACCATTCTGATACTACCCTTCCCAGGAGAGCAGGTTAAGTCTTTGGTACTGAGTAACCCATTCATAATACCAATACAGTGGACATAATTTGATATTTTAGAATTCCATTCTTTTTTCCTTTAATGGGTGTGTCCTATAGGTTGGAGTTTAGAAAATATTGTCTGTGATATTTAGCTTTAATTTCTATTGATTTGAATATGACTAAACAGTATTCTTCTACTTTGATCCTTTTTTATTAACTCCTGGACTATAAAAAGAAATGTATTGTTGCCTGTGACACAAGGAAATTATTTTATTTTAACCCAAAAAAATATTGATAGATATGTTTCTCCTTCAATATCTTAAAACTTTATTTGATCAATATTTATACACATACATGTGGAAATATTTATATACAACAATAATATCTGAAATATTTATTTTTAAAGCGCCCTTTATTTCTATTGTATATAGATTGTAATTTTTACTCATAATTGGTAACAATGTAATATTACTGATTATAACTTTGTTACATTTTTAAGCTGAGGTTGAAAACTACTAAAAATTATGTATTTATAATGTTATGATAATTTTTTCAAACTTAGAACTTGTTTTATGACATGATCAACTCCCAAGAAAATGTTTATCTTTTTTAAATATCTTTTCTTATTTGTAGCCCTTCTTGACTGATTTTCAGAACCTCAAGATCTTCCTTCTCCTTTTGACTTGCACTCTGCTCTCAGGATAGATGTGGTATCTTCTTTTTTTTTTTTTTTTAAACGCTACTGCATATCTGTTTCTTCAAAGTGAAAGTGAAACTATTTTGCTTGATATTCCATTTACTTTCTGCTACTAAATTTGCAACAGGAAATCCATTCTACATTCTATGGTAATTCTTCAGAAATGAAGAATATTGTATCGATGGTAGAAATTTCTTTGTTTGGATTATTTCACTCATGTTGGGAGAAATTTGTTTGTGTATTCTCTGGCTATCTTTAAGTTGAGGAACAGATACTTATTAAACTAAGTTGAAAATTTTTTTCTTCATGAATAAGAGATATGTACTTTTGAAAAGTGCCCCTCCTCCCCCCAAAATATCTGTTCCACTTTGATCAACCTCACATTACCAAATATACTTCTTCACAAAATTGATAGCTCATGTAGAGCTTATAGACAAATGTTGGGTAATCAAATGACTAATGAAAAAAACATCTAAATAAAGCATTTTGTCCTTAAAAGCAATTTCTTCATCGTAGTTTTATCAATAGAGTCAGCCTTACATATATGGGATGGAGATGCAATAAATTCTGGTTACAAATTTAGATTGAAAATGTTAAAAATACAGGGACACTTAGCTTTTAATTTTAATTTTAAATATTTTTTGACATCTAGTGT